TACAGCTTATCAGTTAAATGGTTAAATCTTATTTCTCTACCTTACTGTCCAAAGAACATCCAATAGTTATAAAGCATTTTACAGGGTTTGCCAGTTTATTTTCCCTGGCTTATATATGCCAGCACAAAAATCTAAAGATGGGCGGTGGTGGCGCTTGCCTTTAATCCCAGCACTCGGGAGGCAGAAGCAGCCAGATCTCTGTGAGTTCGAGGCCAGCCTGGTCTACAGAGTGAATTAAAGGAAAGGCGCAAAGTTACACAGAGAAACCCTGTCTTGAAAAAAACAAAACAAAAGAAAAAAAGTAAAAAAAAAAAAAAGGGGGGGGGGGTTTGGGGATTTAGCTCAGTGGTAGAGCGCTTGCCTAGCAAGCTCAAGGCCCTGGGTTCTGTCCTCAATTCCAAAAAGAAAAAAAAAAAATCTAAAGACAATTTCAAAAGCAAGAGGGTGGGAGGGGGACATCAGCCACTGTACTGCCACTCAGTAAAAACAAGGAAAACTGAGTGTGCCTCAGTTAGTTTTCCCACGTGCTTTTAAAGTGTACTTATGAAGTCAGTACATAATTTTGTATTGGACCATTACCCACTTTACTAGTTCTTTGGCTATACAATAACCCAATGTAAGTTTACTTAACTCTTTCCCTAAAGCAGAAACTTATGGAATTGTTTTCCATCACTTTGCTAGTCTGTTTTGCTTGCAAAGTCTTTCATTTGATAAAGTGATTAAAACAGTAGAAAGACAAGATACGAAAAGACTAGACAGGGCACATAATGACTGAATGAAAGAAGTTACTATTCAGAAGGGCACTGGTCTCAGGAGATAGAGAAAAGCAAATGAAGGACATGGGATATAGAAGGAAAAGAACCACAACTATAAATTTCAACTATCTTTTTAAGAGCAAAATGCAAACCATCATATGCCAACTCAATTTTCACTTTGATCCAAAACACAGAAATGATTCTTTTTTTTTTAAGATTTATTTATTTATTATGTATACAGCATGTATGACTGCAGGCCAGAAGAGGGCACCAGATCTCATTACAGGTGGTTGTGAACCACCATGTGGTTGCTGGGAATTGAACTCAGGACCTCTGGAAGAGCAGCCAGTGCTCTTAACCTCTGAGCCATCTCTCCAGCCCCCCAGAAATGATTCTTATGCTGACAAATATGAGTGGAAGCAGATGGCCCCTATGTGCTCCTCACATTCAAAACCTGTAATAGTCATTTGCTGGCCATGTTTTTAGAACTAATTTTTTGGGTGAGTGATATTACTTCCATTTAAAAAAAAAAAAAACAACGCTATTGGTCAAATGAGAATGATCAGTTTCCATTTATTGACTGTGTTTAGCTGGACTACATCTGAGACCCAACATCCAACACTTCTTATCTGTGATATCTTCTGGAGACAGATTGTGTTCTGTAACAAGAACATAGACCAGAGCCTTAACAGTGTTGACTCAAAGCTTCTTCAAGACAGAGAAAATGTTCTACGCTCCTGTGGTTCACACAATATTTAAAAAAAAAATGTGAGGATGGAAAGATGACTCAGTGATTAACAGCACTGGTTGCTTTTCTGGAGGACCGGGGTTTAATTCCCAGCACCCACATGACATTTCACAACTCTCTGTAACTCCAGTTCCAGGTGGTCCATTACCTTCCTCTGGCCTCTGTGGGCACCAGGAAGTATGTGGTACACAGACATACATGCAGGAAAACATCCATATACATACAACAAAAAATTAGGGGGAAAAAAAGCATGTAGGAGGGTCACTTGCAAAAAAAAAAAAAAAGAAAAGAAATGGATGGAGCTTAGTTCTACCTGGGCTGAGATTAGATTCCCTCTTAATGAGCATCCAGACCCTGAAATCTATTACAGCTCAGCAGAGGTGACATGCACTCAGCAGTCTGCATAAACTGCAAACTCACAAGGACATGCGGTCTTTCTGAAGCACAATTTGACAGCATATGTCATTATGCAAACATCTTAAGCATGTACTTTTGATCCAGTAAGTCTACTTCTGGGAATTCCTGAGGAAATAATCAGTAATGTAAAAGATTTAGCAAAGCTATGGTGACTGTATCATTGTCAATAATGGTAAACAAGGAGAGACAAACTAAATGTTAAACAGGAGAACACGGATAAATAAGTCATGATTCATGCAAACACAGGACAGGACAGCTACTAAAGGAATTTGAAGTGGACTGGCATGGAACACTATGATAATATAGTAGTTAACTACAGTATGAGCTTATTTTACACACACACACACACACACACACACACACACACACACACACACACACATACACACACACTCAAACATCTGATAAGAAATGCTATGAATACAATTCCAAGAAATAAAACAAAATTTTTATCATTTATACTGTCTTATGAGTCATACTCAAAGATCAAAAAAGGCTTTACACTCAAAAGCTTGGGAGTTGACAGATAAATAAGAGGCGGCCTGTGGATCTCTACCTGAACCTGGTACCTGGTAACAGCCTCAGGTTTCCTGCCTGGCAGGCCTTTATGTGTACATGGAGAAAGAGCCATCCTCTTACCAGTGGGTTTTCCCTTTGGCATTAGGCTGCAACACAGAATACAACTCCAATTGTTGGAGATGTGCAGTCTAGCAGGAAGAGGTGAGCCAACCATTCTGGGATGGCAATCACCAAGGAGATGCTGAAGAGGCATGTTCTATTCTTGGTCTGGGAGATAAATAAAGGTTTCCAAGGAGGAATGGTCACTAATGCACACTGTTACACACTGACTAGAAGTCTGGCCACTTGAGAGGGCAAATTATGCAGAAGAAACAGTGGGCTTTACAAGGCATAGAAAATATGCTCTGTAAAGAGTCTGACTAAAAATAGTTGAAGGTCAAAAGAATAGACAATTTAAGGAAATAATGTAGAGAAAAAGAAATATTTCTAAAGTTTTTACTGGTGAAATTTGAAATCTAATTCAGTAATGAGTCTGTGCCATATATCTATACTACTGAGAATGGGCTTTGTAGGCTGGGGCCATAGCTTCAGGGCTCTAGAACAGAGGTTCTAGATTCCATCTCTCCACCAAAGATGACTAATTCTTTGGGAGGAGGGTAACATTTGACTGATTAGAGTTCAAAGTTAGCATTTCCTATCTATGAGAACCAACAAGCCAAACCAGACACAGTCATGAAGGGCTGTGGTCCAGATACTCAAAGGCTGAGGCAGGAGGATGAATTGAGTCCAGAAGTTCCAGGCTAGCCTGGATAAAATAATAAGACCATTGCAGGAAAACAAAACAAATTAATCACAAATATTCAGTTGTTAAAGTGAGTTTTTTCCTTTCCAGAAAGACACAAATCTGGCAAGATACACATATGATATGCCATCTTAGAAGCCAGGTATCATGGCATGGATCTGTAATCTCAGTACTTAAGAAGCTGAGGCAGGAGGATCATGAGCTTCAGGCCAGCTTGGACTATATAGTGAGACTGTCTCAGAAACAAAAATAGCTCCAGTGACATGGTTCATCAGGTAAAGAAACTTGCTGGTAAACATGACAGCCTGAGTTAGATACCTGGGACCCACAACATGGAAGGACAACCAACTTCTGCAAGTTGTTCTCTGGTTTCCACACATACACTGTGGCATGCTTGCCTCCAAACATACACAAATAAATAAATAATAAATCTAAGTACACCACACACACCATCTTTTAAGGTTAGGTGTTAACACTGACATAATTCACACCATTGTAAAACTTTTGGCCAGGCAGTAGTGGCACATGCCTTTAATCCCAGCACTCAGGAGGCAGAGCCAGGTGGATCTCTGTGAGTTCGAGGCCAGTCTGGTCTACAGATTGAGATCCAGGACAGGTTCCAAAGCTACACAGAGAAAACTTTTGTTCAATTTTGGTGTTAGGAATGGAACCAGGGTCTGTACATACTACCCTTTACTTTTAACATCATTTAGGTTTTTGTTTTGTTTTTGTGTATCCACAAGGCTACATAACAGGTATCACTATCTAACTTTAAACACTCCCCTCAACCTAAAAAGGAACTCTGCCTGTGAGTACTTTCCTTCATACACAGCCCTGCCTATGCAGATGCTAACAATGGAGTTATGCGATACCTGCCCTTTGGGTTTAGTCTTCCACTTAACATGTCTCCAACACTCATCCATGCTGTAATAACATGGATCAGTGTTTCATTCCTGTTTATGAACAAATTAATACAAACTGTATAGGCGAAGTGTGTTTTATTTACCAATTTAGCCACAGACAAATGTTTGAGTTATGTCTATTTTTTGGCTAGCAGCCACACTGCTACGGACACTCAAATACAAGTCTTGGCATAGACACCAATTTTCAATGCTCTTGGTATAGATAGAAGGATGGATGGATGGATGGATGGATGGATGGATGGATGGATGGATGGATGGGTGGGTGGGTGGGTGGGTGGGTGGGTGGGTGGATGGATGGATGGATGGATGGATGGATGGATGGATAGATGTGGTGGACCACATTTAAACTATGTTTAATATCTGAAGAATTACTAGACTGTTTTCCAAAGCAGCTGCTATACAACCACATCAGCACCCTACCAGCATCTGTAACTGTCTTGTATTCTTTACTGCACCCACCCTCTAATAACAACTGATGCTAAGCCCCTTCCTGTGGACTGAATGTCATCTCCATACTGTCTGTGACAAATGTAGCATGGAGCCTTTCTCAGTGCTGAGACGCAAGAGCTCCTAACCCAAGTGCCTGCACATCTTTCAGAATATGACTTGCCTCTTCACTTCCATGATGGTGTTACTTGAAATGCCAAAGATTTTTACTTGTAAGATCTTATTAATTTATATACACTCTGGATTCTTATTCTTTTGCCTCATATCTAAGCAACCATTGCCTAACCCAAGTTTTTAGCCCTTATATTCAAGTGTCTGGTCTATTGTGAATTAACTTTTCAATATAGTAGGATGCAGAAGCTAAGCTTCATTCTTTATTTTGTTATAATAAAAACATAGAATGTTTTATGAATCTGCATGCCCTCCCTGTGTAGGGGTCATGCTAATCTCTGCATTGTTCCAATTGTATTATATGTGCTGCTGAAATGAACAGTTTCATTCTCTGTTTAGTACCCAGGGGCCCAGGACCATTCGCTGAAAGACTGTTCTTACTACATTGTTGGAAATCCCCTACCATAGATGAAAGGGTTAATTTCTGGACTCTTGGTTCCAGCTCACTAACTTTGACTCCTAGTCATAAAGGACTAAACTGTCTTATCAGAGCCTTGTAGGAAAATCTGAAATTGGGAAGTAAGTCCTCTTAAGTTGCTATCACTTTGTTTGTTGAATTTGGGGCTACTGTGTATCCCATGAGTTTCTCATATAAATTTCAGGATCAGCATGTCAATCTTTGCAATATAAAGGTGGCCGGGGTTCTGATGATGACTGGTGAGTCTACAGATCAGTCTGGGAAGTACTGCCATTTTAATCATACCAAGTTTGTTCATCATGAACACATTTTCCCATTTATTCAGGTTTTGAGGTTTTTGCACATTTATCACTTTCACACAGAAGTCTCACACTTCTGCTAAATGTACTCCTATTATTTTGTTTTTGAAACTATTGTACATGGAACTGTCTTCATTCCTTTAGGGGACCCTCCCCCGCTACATTTCTTCCTCTCCATTTTCTTGTTGATTTTATAGTACTGAGGACGAACCCAGGACCTCCACAAACTAGGCAAATGCTCTACTACTGAAATGGATCCCTAGCACTAACTATTGTCCTCCCCTCGATATGGATATTCATCCTTTAACAGGCATCTCTTTTCAATAAGATTATGTCATATCTGATTAGAGGTAGTTTTACTTCTTTCCAGTCTGGAAGGTTCTTCTTCTTAACTGTACTGTTAATGGTCACTCATAGAAAGACTTTATGTATTTTATCTTTGATAATGTCCTCACACAGATACTATAAAATTCTGGCATGAACCAGAAAGCCAGATTTACAAAACTGAATCTTTTCTTTTCCTTTCTTTCTTTTTCTTTTTTTTCTTTCTTCCTTTTTTTTTTTTGGTTTTTCGAGACAGGGTTTCTCTGTGTAGTTTTGCGCCTTTCCTGGAACTCACTTTGTAGACCAGGCTAGCCTCAAACTCACAGAGATCTGGCTGCCTCTGCCTCCCAAGTGCTGGGATTAAAGGCTTACTGGGATTAAAGGCGTGTGCCACCACCGCCTGGGTTGAATCTTTTCTTGATGGCTGCCTGTTACTACATTGGTGTGCTGTAGAAGCACATGAAGCAGTTTAGTATGAGTTATGACCCGAATATCTGTCAAAAATTTCACTGCATTATAGGCACACAGAGCTATTTACCCTCTGAATTTTAGGTTTAACTCACTGGGAAATATAAAACCTGTAACAAAAGCTACATAAAAAATATAGCACATCATATATACCTTTTGCATTCTATTCTTTCCACTTATTTCAAGAGCTCTCCCACTCTGTACTTTTCTGTTTTGTATAGTATGTATTATAAGTATTAACCAACATTTTATTAAAATCACTGAACTAATCATCAGATTTTTAAAACAGTATAGTATAAAAACACAAAACACTTCTATTTTGTACTGAATATAAATGTCCCCCACTACTGAGTTCATGCTGAACTGGCTTGAGGGGAAGTCACCCAGCAGCACGTCCAGAAGTAGGGCTGGCCCTTGCTTGGTTTGATTCCAAGCTTCGATGTCCCTGGGCCTTCTCCTCTGCTTCTCTGGCTGCCTCCTCCTTTCAACTTGGTTTTGACCTAGCTCCTCGTAGGGGTAGAGGGGAGTGACACTGGGCATCAAGTTCTCACATACCATGCAGAACCATGGAGTGTTCGTTTCTGACTGGTCTCAGGCCTCTCTTGAGCAGATCCTTGAAGGCAAGTCCTGCCACTTTGCTTTCAGCCACCGAGGGCCTGAAGTGGGTGTAGTGTATGAGCTGGGGAGAGGGGAACGTAGCCTCACTCAGACTCACTGGGCTTCTGTTCTTCAGAAGGTTGTTAACAAGATGTGGGAGGCAGGGGTGGGTGCTTAGCAGCAGACAGCAGTGATACCAGCTGTATTTTAGAATACCATGTTCTTTTTCTTCCTCCAGGTCCCAATCTCCTTTTTGATAGAAGACAGCATGAAGAAGTCAATCAAAGCCCTAACCTTATGTCACCTCCAGGGTGCCTAGAAAAGCAGCTGCTAATAAATAAATGGTTGCCTGGGGAGCTCTTCTGCCTCATCTGCTTTTGATACTTGATAATTGTGTTCTGCCTTCCAGATTAGGGCTTTGAAAAAACATACTTGATCTTATTCAGTGCCAACCAGTCGACTTTTAGTGGAGCATAGATGATAAAAAGATAACAAGTACGCATCAGTGAGTTTTCTGTTGCTGTGACAAATTAAATGCATGCGCGCGCGCACACACACACACACACACACACCCCTGAGGAAAAACCTGAAAGGGTGAAAGATTACACACACACACACACACATACACACACACACACACACACACACACACACACACACACACACACACACACACACACACACACACACACACACCCCTGAGGAAAAACCTGAAAGGGTGAAAGATTATTTTGGCTCACTGAGAGATTTCCGAGCATAGTAGGCTGGTTTCATTGTTTTGTTTGTTTGTCTTTCAAGACAGCGTTTCTGTGTGTGTGGCCCTGGCTGTCCTGGAACTTGCTCTGTAAGCCAGGCTGACCTCAAATTCAGTTCTGCCTTAGTGCTGGGATTAAAGTTGTGTGCCACCACTGCCCAACTGGTTTCACTGTTTTTACACTATGTGTCAAGGTAGAAAACATGGTAGAAGAGCATAGCAATGGGAAGCTTCTTACCTCCTACTCTGGGAAGCAGAATAGGAAGAAGAATAAGGGCAATGGAGCAGCAGCCAGGGACAAGATATACCCTCAAAAGCACATCCCACTGACCCCCATTCTTGAAATAGTTCCTGCCTCTTCACACCTTTGCCCCACTTCAGGCCCTCAGTGGCTGAAAGCAAAGTAGCAGGGCTTACCTTCAAGGATCTGCTCAAGAGAGGCACCCTCTGCCCCTACAAGGAGCTAGGTCAAAACCAAGTTAAGCCGGGTGGCGGTGGCGCACACCTTTAATCCCAGCACTCGGGAAGGTGAACCAGGTGGATCTCTGTGAGTTCGAGGCCAGCCTGGTCTACAGAGCGAGATCCAGGACAGGCACCAAAACTACACATAGAAACCCTGTCTCAAAAAAACAAACCGAACAAACAAAAAAACCCAAGTTGAAAGGAGGAGGCAGCCAAAGAAGCAAAGAAGCCCCAGGGACATCGAATCGTGGACTCAAACCAAGCAAGGGCCAGCCCTACTTCTGGACGTGCAGCTGGGTGACTTCCCCTCAAGCCAGTTCAGGCTGGACTTTTGGGCATTTATGAATGGAAACTATGGCAGAATCTAAGATAATCCACTAACCTCTTCTAGATAATCCACTAACCCACTGCTTAGAACTAATACCTGCAGCTAGCAGAAACAGGAAACTCCAAACAAACAAATGGGTTTTCACGGCAGCTAGACCGGCTTCTACCCTCTACATCTTCCCCTAACGGTGGGTGTCTCCTCAGTGGCTCCCTGACTTCAGAAGCCTGAAGTTTGCATCCCCACTACCATGTAGCTCTGCACTGCTGGCTGACAGAATGTTGGTTTCTTGTCTTTATTATTAAACTACAAATCCACAGCACGGCAGGTTCTTCCGAACCTAACCTTGCTTGCTCTCAGCTCACAGCTCCATCACTTATAACATTCCCCAGCCCATGCATGGGCCCCTGGTGTCCTTGTCTCTAAACTCTGCCTAACCCAGTGTTTTGTTGCTATGCAAACTGTCAAATGCCTTTTAGGGACCCATCCTTAGTTGTCTCTGTGCCCAATACTGTGTTAGGCATGTATTATGCTATAATATCTAAGTAGAAAATAGAAATTGAATCTTAAAAATGCAGTATTTATCATCAAAGATTTATTTTTTCCACAATTTTGTTTTGTTTTTTGAGACAGGGTTTCTCTGTGTAGTTTTGGTGCCTGTCCTGGATCTCGCTCTGTAGACCATGCTAGCCTCGAACTCACAGAGATCGACCTGGCTCTGCCTCCCGAGTGCTGGGATTAAAGGCTTACTGGGATTAAAGGAGTGCTGGGATCAAAGGCGTGAGTCACCACCGCCCAGCACAAAAATATTTTAACACATTCAAAAAAATGTAAACTGGCTGGAGAAATGGTTCAATGAGATTAAAAGCCCATTACTGCTCTTCCAAAGGACATGGGTTCTATTCCTAGCACCCACATCAGGTGGCTCACAACCACATATAACTCCAATTCCAGAGGATCTGATGTCTCTAACCTCTTCAGGCATCCATACTCATGATGCAAACACACACACACACACACACACACACACACACACACACACACACACAAACACACACACACACACACACACACGATTAAAAATAATTTTTTTAAATGTAAACAAAGGAGCTACATGTGATTCAGTTGGTTGAGTATTTGCCTAGCATGCAGGAAATCCTGGGTTCAATTACTAGCATAATACAAACTGGGCATGGTGGTGCACAATTGTAATCCTAGGACTTGTAAGGTAGAAACAGGAGAACCAGAAGTTCAAGGTCATCCTTGGTTTTACAGTGAGCTCAAGGTCAGCCTAGGCTACATAAAACCACATCTCAAAAAGAAAAATAAGTCCTTCTGGTGTCCTGGGAAGAATGTGGACCCAAGCTCATGCCATCAGCATTAGTACTGATGCTGTTCTGACTTGCACATTCCTCACAAACATTTCTCCTTTTTTAACATTTTTCATTAAAATTACATGCTCCTACAAAGTAATTCTACACCTGATGGTTAGTTTTGACTTTTTAAAATAATTTAAGTTTATTTTACGTGCATTGGTGTGAAGGTGTCAGATCCCCTAGAACTGGAGTTACAGACAGTTGTAAACTCATGTGGGTGCTGGGAATTGACCCTGGGTCCTCTGGAAGAGCAAGGGGTGCTCTTAACCACTGACCCATCTCTCCAGCCTCATGGAT